TTAGTCTGCACATAATGATTTATTTACTATCACCCTGGGAAGCAATTGCTTCTGTATTCCATTAACATCCCATCTTCTAAGGGAGGGGCTTATTCATGTTTGGTTTCTTGGGCCTAGCTCTATGCCTGGCACACAGTAGTTGTCAGTAAATGTCAGTCCCTTCTGGGCACTGGTGGCTTTTACCTGTAATCCTAGCTACTCAGGAGGCTGAGGTCTAGAGGATTGTGTTCCAAGCTGGGAAAAACTCTTTATTTCTAACTAACCAGCAAAAAGCTGGGCTGGAGGTGTGGTTCAATTGATAGAACACAAGCTGTGAGCAGGAAAGCCAAATGAGATAATTCAAATTTGGGATTATTATTATTGTAAATTATTGGGAGATTTTGTTCCACAACTTTTAATTAGAAGAAGTTGACTTCAGACTTGCTTCATACTTGGCCTTCAGTCCTGAAGCTTGTAGGGTGAAATTGGATGAGTTGAAGACTACATGAACTAAGACTTTTTTTTCCCCTCTTGTTTCAGTGACTCGATGGAATAAAATCTCTCACTTGCAGAAAAAACAACCATAAAGAAACAATTTTGACATATTTCAAATCCTCTTCATAAATTGTTGAAAAGATTTAATATAACCGCCAGTCATAAAATATTTAATTTGAGCTGACCCTCTCTGATCCCAGTGATTACACAGACAGTTTTTATTACTGAAGAATAAATTGTGGATTTCCTATGATTCAAGACGATAAAAATTCCTTTCATCCACCTCCCGTATAATACTGAGATTTGAACATTTTCACTTTAGTTCTCAGAGATGGAAATGCTCACAAAATGGTTTGTAACCTGCTAGTGTGTGTGTGTGTGTGTGTGTGTGTGTGCGCTGGTACTGGGGCTTGACCTCATGACCTAGGCCCTATCCCTGAGCTTTATTTTGCTCAAGGCTGGAGCTCTACCACTTGAGCCACAGCTCCATTTCTGGCTCTTTGCTGGCTAATTTGAGATAAGAGTCTCATAGATTTCCCTTCACTGGCTGGCTTCAAACTTCAATCTTTAGATCTCAGCCTCCTGAGTAGCTGGAATTACAGCTGTGCTCTTTGACACCCAGCAGGAAAAATCTCATAACCATCGCACTCATGTTCAGCCTTGGCCACTTCCAGGGTGTGCAGAAAGCACAGGGCATTCAACACTAAGGTGTGTTCCAGGACAAGCTCAGGGAGAGAGCCACCCAGTGCCACAGGACAGGGCACAAGGGCTGGGCCTATGTCCCCTGGAAAAAGGACCCTCAGTGTGGCAGCATGCCTGACATCAGCTTGAGATGTTTGGCAGATTCTTATTTGCCAAGAGATCCTTACCGGAGGCTTTGGAAATAGCGGAGGGAATGCATCAAATCGTTTGTGACAGAGACCATGAAAATGAGAATTTCATTTGCAGAGGAGCATGTCAAAAGACACGGAGACACACAGCTTTGGCCAAATGACCGCAGGCCATTCTTATGGTCATATGGAACGCGTTATGAATCCGGGGAATACTGCAAAGCGAGACACAAGTACGCACTGGCTGTGGGGTCCCGGAAGATAGTCCCACGGGGAAGAAAGCTGGCCTGACAGTGAAATCAGCTTGCAGGGACTAGCCCCTTCCTCTATACCATTCCTCCCCCCCCCTCCTCCTTTGTTTACCCTTCACATCCCTTCCCAGCCTCCCCCCCCCCCCCCCATTCCACTCATTGTCAATTCCCAAGTGATCTTGTTTTGTTTTACCTGTCAAGGGGCTTGAATTGTGGCCCTGGGCACTGTCCCTGAGCTCTTTAGCTCCAGGCCAGTGCTCTAACTCTTAAGCTACAGTGCCACTTCTAGTTTTCTGGTGGTTAATTGGAGATAAGAATCTCAGGGAGGGCTGGGAAGGTGGCTCAGTGGTAGAGCGCTTGCCTTGCATGCCTGAGGCCCTGGGTTCAATTCCTCAGCACCACATAAGCAAAAAGAAGAAAGCCGGAAGTGCTGCTGTGGCTCAATTGGTAGCGTGCTCACCTTGAGCTGAAGAGCTGAGGGACAGCGCCCAGGCCAAGTTCAGGCCCCATGACCGGACCCAAAAAAAAAAATCTCAGGGACTTTCCTGCCTGGGCTGGCTTTGAACCTCCATCCTCAGCCCTCAGCCTCCTGAGTAGCTAGAATTACAGGCGTGAGCCACCCACACCCTGCAACATGCAGTCACTTTGATGAGGCTGTGTGAAGTCTGGGAAGTCCAGGTGAAAAGGAAAATTCAGTCAGGATCTCCCTTGACAGCTACATTCATTCTGCCGGCATTTAGTCCTGGCAAAGGACAGAAAGCTTGAGCCATACAAAGCAGCCCTTGTGGTGGTGACAGACTGGCTCCTTACACTTTCGTCTGTAAAGACCCCACACAGCTGTGACCCGGGCTTTAGGAGGACCCTGTAGGGAAATGGCACCATACCTGCCTCCCTTGAACTCATGGAGAATTGCAGGATCCCTGCCTCTACGGGTAGTTTGGAGCTACATACTGAGCCTGGGTGTGGGAGGACCCCTGTTTTACATTAACAGGAAGATTTATTACACCAAGAGGTCAATATTTGCCTTGGCCTCAGCCTGGTGCATATGTACCTCCATGTCCAGTGTTTCTTTCTGCTGACTGCTGCGGAAGCAAAGCTCTGTCTTTTGTCTGTGGATGGGACACTGATTAAGATTTTATCAGAAAGGCCTGCAGATACCATGCTGGCAAAGATGCTCTGAGGATGCTTTGCCTGTGTATCATCAAGAAGTCTGAACCCAAGGGCTGAGAAGGTGGCTCAGAGGTAGAGTGTTTGCCTTGCATGCAAGAGGCCCTGGGTTCAATTCCTCAGCACCACATAAGCAGAAAAAGCCTGAAGTGGCGCTGTGGCTCAAGTGGTAGAGCACTAGCCTTGAGCCAAAGAGCTGAGGAACAGCGCCCAGCTCCAGAGTTCAAGCCCCAGGACAAAAAATAAATAAAAAAAATAAAAAATCTGAACCCTAGCTGGGGGTGGGTTTCTATTGCAGTGTGTGGTCATAGCATGCACAAGACCCTGGGTTCCAACATTGCATTAACTAATTAATGTTTTCATTTTCATTAGTGTCTGGGTTTAAATTCAGGGCCTTGTGCTTGCTCAGCTTATGTTCTATCATTGGATCCAGGCCTCCAGCCTGGCTTTTTGCTGGTTGATTGAATGTAAGACTCTCGTGGGCTTCTCTTTCTGGGCTAGCCTCAAACCATGATCATCAGATCTCAGCTTCCTGGAGTCCGCTAGAGGCTCTGGTGCCCTGCTCCATCTCTAAATGTTGTGTTGTTGTTGATCATGGGGCTTGAACTCAGGGCCCAGGCACTGTCCCTGAGCTTTATCATTCAAAGATAGTGCTCTACCACTTTGAGCCACAGCTCCACTTCTGGTTTTCTGGTGGTTTAGTGGAGATGATAGCCATATGGACTTTCCTACCCAGACTGGCTTTGAACCCTGATCCTCAGATCTCAGCTTCCTGAGTAGCTAGGATTCCAGGCGTGAGCCATCAGTACCCAGCTCCATCTCCAAACATCTGATGCTGTATTTCTCAGAGGAGCACAGGCTTTCGCTTCTCTGGAAGTTTCCATGTGTAATCAGGATGGCAAGGGCACAAGATTGGAAATAGACAGGCACATATGTGGAGAATGGAGCAGAGGCCTCTGGGGCAGAGCTGCGGGGGTGGAGGCGGCAGCTGTAGCAACACCAGCAAGGAATTTTCTCACTCAGCACCCACTGGCTGCATACTTTATCTTTGAAGGAATGCAAATTACACCTTCCACCCAGTGCTGGTGCTGTTTGTTTTAAAATATATTTAAATCTTTGACCACACAGTAAAATATACAGTTTTGTCCTCTGAGAAAGGAGCAACTATTCCAGACTGTTGAGCCCTATTGGCTGGTCTCACTTCGATGTTTTATTTTTTTCTTTTTTAATTAAAACTTTGTTTCCCCTGTAGTATTGGAGTTTGAACTCTGGGTCTCTTGGCTTGCCTGGCAGACCATTTGAACCAAGCTGCTAACACTCGAGCCACTCCTCCCCCCCCGCCACGCCCACTACAGCAAACCACGCTCCTTAGTTTAAGGCACGTTGCTGTTAGAAGCCTTGGGCCACGCCCCTTTCGTGTAAACCACGCCCCCATGGTTAAAGATGTTTGGCGTCCTTCACCCTTTACCGAAGTCCTGGCAAAGTTAATCATCTTTAATATTTATTGAGTGTGGCACCAAATACTTGATGTGACTGGCTCATTCGGGTCCTTCAGCGAGTGGCAGGCACACAGAATTCACCCTCTACCTGTCCGCTGGCCAGCATGAAGCTGAAGCTATTGTCCAAGACGAGACCACTAGGGCCAGACCGAGAGCACCTTACCGCAGTCCTGAAGTTTCGGGAATGTTCTTTATTCTTTCTCTAAGCACCTTTGCCCTAAAACAGGCATGAGCTGGGTGGCATTGTGTCATCCCTCACTTGTCCTTGTTCCCTCCAGCGTGGTGGGTAGCCTGTGGCGCTGGAGGAATGAGTTTAGGATAACCTGTGAAGCTGGTGTGGTGGTGCACATCTGTAATCCTGCCCACCTACTCGGGAGGCTGAGCTCGCCGATCCTGTCTCAAAAATCAGAACCTAGAAGTGGGGAGGGACACCAGGGTGGCTCACGCCTATGATCTCAGCTACGCATGAGGCCGAGGCTCGGGGGCCCAAGCCAGCCCAGAGCAGGAAAGCCCAGGAGATTCTTATTTCCAATGAACCAGCAAAAAACAAACAAACAAAAAAACTCCACCTTAAGTGGAGGCGTGGTTCAAGTGGTAGAGCTCCAGCCTTGAGTTAAAAAGCTCAGGGACGGGGGGCCTAGGCCCTGAGTTCAGGCCCCAGGACACACACACACACACACACACACACACACACACACACGCGCGCGCGCGCGCGCGCGCATATGGCAGGATGGATGCGTGGCGAGGTGTGGGCGAACGGGGAGCCCCCTGGCCGCCAGCTGCCCCCACTACTGCCATGCTGTGACCCAGCGACTCCTGCGCAGAGGGGCGCGTGTGCCCCCCTCTCCAGCTCCACGGCAGTCGTTCGAGCCTCAGTTTCCACCTCTGAACTACGGGGATGATTACCCCCGGTTGGAGAGGGGAAACCGCGAGTCGGGAGGAGGTGCGGACCCCAGG